GTCTATATGTTTATCAGATCAGTTACGATTTGCCGACCGGTATTTTGGGCCCGTATTCGTTTACCCTAATGCCTTAACAAGCAAAACACCGCTGCTTGAGATAAAGATCAAGGTCTCGACGTCAGTTGCTGCCATCTCAAACGATGTTTTGGTCTTATCTTTCCTCAGTTCACTGGGCGTTGCCATTTCCTTTACACTTCCGGACATTTATCATTCCGACAAGCAAAAATGGGACGAAAAATTGTTCTCTTTCTATTTTCTACAGCAAGCGAACAAGAAAGGATGCTGCGCATTACTTGCAATTTGTCGGTGCCGTCTGTGATAAAAGTAGAGTTTGAACATGGGTGGGAAGAACAAACCGGCCACAAACCAGGAGTACTGTGCTTGTGCAAATATGGAAGCTTTATCAGCCGCATTTCCCCGTCTTTCATCCAAACAAAGTGGTGACATAATCAAACCTTAGCTTTATGCAGACGACCTTTTCACCTGCGCGCTGCCGGAAGGAGGAGAAGTGACTTTCCCTTCTTGCGGTTTTCGAGCACAGGTCGAGCACGAACGCTCGCAGCAACATGAAATTTTAGTATCTGTTTACTAATAAAGTTGGCATCCTTTGTGCGAATTTGAAGGCTTGATATCCTAGGATCAGTTACCTAGGTCAGGTCAAAGAGGTCAACATCTAAAATGTTTTGACCACAAATAGCTTTTGTGGGTCATTTGCCATTGTTCAAACGTTTCATAAAAAGAGGGCATAGAAGTACCTATTTGGAAAAGTGCAAGAACAGTCACCTGAAGTCAGGTCAATTTTTGCTACTTTTCATAATTTTTGCAAATTTGTACGAATTTCCGTTTAGTTTTGGTGTTTTTATGCAAGGAAAAGAACACATCCACAAGCACTATTTGACCACAGAGCACATAACCTTGGTCACGGTCACAACCTACCTCTACGGGAATCTGCTACAAGATACATACTGAGCTCAACATAAGGGGTTTTAGTAGGTACCTTTGGACGCAGAATTTGAATACTCCACTGAAAACTTGTTGTGATATCATTGCAATGCATAATGAGATCACAGTAGGCCGCGTGACGACATGCAAGCTCATGTGAGGTCGTACAAGGTTTATGACTTATATTGCCCGCAGCGGAGAGAATAGATAAACTAGTGCGACGTGTGCAACCACCTCCTTATCATGTTTGTGAAGCCAAAGTCGTATAATTTCATGTACCAACGTGCCTGTGCTCAGTTTGTTACAAGTTCCCAAACTGTGGATGCACAATACACTATGAGCGTCATGACCACAGAAGTGCATTGTACCGGTCACATAAACTCGGCTGCCGATTAACATTTTTTTCATTTGGATGGTTTATAAACTTGACCTAAGCTGAAGTTACGTGACCTTCAGGTTACCCTTCAGTGGTGTATTTGTGTCGGAAATACTGGAGTTACACGGCTGCAGTTAGTAAAACAAACATAGTCACAAGTACATTGTGAAGAAAATTTTAGGCTACTGACAGACACTGACCTGTAGGATACCAATTTCAAACGGTGACCTGGTCTGGCCTGACCCGTATGGGGAACAGAAATGGTCAAAATGGACTCCTCACAGTCTTAACGTTTACTTCTCTGCCGTCAGTTCCCATCTTGACGTGTTATTATAGGTTTAACGGCATGTACCAGAACGGCCGTTTTTTTGATGTTTTGTGACTTCTGGGGATTTAATCTTCAACCTAAGGTGAAAAAATGTAGCGTGCATTCTCCATGATTTGACGAGACCTTTAAGACCTTATCTTTACTTTTCTCATACGACATCTAGAAGTTGGAGATCCCGGAGGGGGGGGGGGGCTCAACTCCCCGCCCGGACGGGCGTGGTTGTCTCAGACCCCGGCCGGGCGCAGAACCCGTGCCATGGCCCAAATACGTTTCAAATCTTAACCCGCGCTAGGCCGGGAAGGGGCAGTTAACTTCCCCTTCCGTTTTTGTATAGCACAACTGATAACAAACGGTCGAAGCAGCACCAAGTTTTTTTGTACACGTTTAGATATCAATTTTACATCCTTTCGTAATGTCTGAAGTTTTGATCTGTCATGGTCAGCGACCAAGGTCAAAAGAACACCTCAATCAAGGAACAACGAAAGGGCGAAGAAAAGCAGCCTCTAAAAAGCTTTCATCACGCATAGGCTTTTGGGGGTTAGTTGCTAAATATGAAACTTGCTGTAGTAGTAGGACGTGACAGCGCTTACAGTTAACGTATTACAAATTGTAAACCAGCGAGGTTCGTGACCTGATGGCAAACTAAGTTTTGCTTTTTTGTCAATGATTCAACTTTTAACGAGTGATGATCCAGGAGGAATGCGTACAGGAACTAGTTCTTCCATTTTTTGGGAGTAGGAAAGTCTGTGCCCATCCCGCACCAAAATTTTGAAAAGCGACCCAGCCCGCGGGACAATTTTGTTAGAAAACTGCTGCACAGGACCTCAGGCGTTGTTTTATTTCTGGTGAATAATTCCAATTTTACCATAATTTAGGTCGCGCAAATAAGAACTGTTACAAATGTAAAGGACTGTTTATCGTCTTAGTTTAGTTTTTCAAGACTGACACTGAGAAGTCTTGAATTTCCTGACTGCCCTGTGATTTCACGTTGATCTCGTTCAAATGTGCCGAGGAAATAAGATCATAAAGAAAAACACTACCTGCAAGCATCACCAATCAAGCCATAACGCCCCTTATGTGATGGTCAGAATCGTTGCGCCTCCACTACCCTATTCTGATTCGTCATAAAGGTATGTTTGTTGCATGAATGAGCTTCGCCAGCGTCGGTGGCGTTTGGTAGCAGATGAAAATCAGCGGGAGTTTCATCCGTGCGAACTCACCGGGTTCTCGCCCCAGGAAACTTGTGTGAGCACTACCGGGGTGAAGGAAATAATCACCCAAACTGCTCTTTATCACCGACGACTGAAATTGTAGGGGCAGTCTGATCGCTCAGACCGCTCTCTTCCACCGAAGACTGAAGCTGTGATCACCCAGATCCCTTCTTATCGTCAACGACTGAGACCGTGGTCACTCAAACCCGGATTACATCGAGACAGAGCTACTGCGATACAACATGGGGCATCCGAGGAAAGAACCGCTGCGACACAGTAAGGGGCGAAAAGGGGACGAGGCAGGTGCTGCGACACAGCGTGGGGTCAACGACCCCAACACTGCGGCACAGCATGCGTCGATACAAGCAGTATGACGCAATATGAAATGAGCAGGGCTGGAAACCCCGCAACACGGAATGAACCGTGTGCTGCCACGTTGAATGAGATCAGCGGTTTTTCGTCAGCACGAGTTCTATTAGAAAACGAACGTTCCGAAAGGGCAGTGACCATCGGCGCCACCGAGCCCAGCGACGAGGCAAGCAGAAGTCCAGCGTCGAGGTCAGACGGCCTACTCGAGATGAAAAGCGCAGTTCTCTCGTCATTTTCTGCGATGGCCTGCCTCGAAAGACGCTCTCCAAAGGCCGCGGCGCTGATCGGCGGTGTTGTCAGGTCATCTCGGGTCAACGGTTGAGCTGTTCATCGCACCACGCCGCCGCTGCCGACGCCACGCGACTTGACGGCGGGTTGGCGCGACCCGCGGCGAAGGTGGGTGATGCACGCGGCCGATGGACACGGCGACGGTTCCGGTAACCACGCGGAGGAAGTCCAATGACCTCGCGGCGGCGGTGCGGTGATCTCGTGGGGGCGGTCCGGTGACCCCACAGAGGCGCTCCAGTGACCCCGCGGCTGCGGCTGCGGTTCGATGGCCTCGTGGAGACGGCCCGTTGATCCCAAAGGGGTTGGTCTGGTGACCTCACGCAGGCGGTCCGGTGATCCCGAAGGGGGTGGTCTGGTGACGTCACGGAGGCGGTCCGGTGACCTCACGGAGGCTGTCCGGTGACCCCACAGAGGCGGTTCAGTGACCCCACGGCGACGGGGGCGGTCGGTTGACCTCACAGAGACGGTCCGCTGCCCTTGCGGCGGCACTATCGCCGCCGCCCGCCAAGCCTGGCCACGCAGTCCGGCCAATCTAATTTGCGGTCACCAGTAGGCGACCGGCCGGCCGCTTTACGAGGACGTTCCGGGCAATTTCGGTTCGGCGCGGCGCTCGGCGCGGCGGCGGCGAATCTGGCGCCCGTTGGCCACGCGGCCCGCTCTAATCCACCCGTTCATTTGGTCGCCGCATTGGTGTCTAATTAGGCCATTTATTACTGTGGTCGTGTTTGGGTCGGCCGTTCCGCCAGTGAATGGGGCGGGCGTTTAGCACAGTCCGACCACCTGATCCCCGGCTGACTGACGGACGTTGGTCCCCACTGACAGGGATCACCGGCCAGAGCCAGGCGCCGCATGCCGACCAGGAGGCCTGGAAATAACCGAGTTCTCGTAATGGCACGCAGCCTCAGCATATCGAGGTCCCCAAAATAACCGGCCATCTTCGGGTCGATGCATTTTCTGGAATCAATCTCTCTAGAATGACGAGATTCCGTGATGGACTCCTAGCTTCAGAATTATCATTATGTATTTATTTATCCCGATGAATCCACGAACACACTTACAGCTTAGTTCGAACTACTAGTATCTAAAAAACACGCAGTAACCATGTATTACGCATCATAAAGCATTTGCAGGTGCTGGCACCTCCCTCCCACCCGGCCCCTATCCCATCCAGTGGGCCCTGGTCGTTGCAGAGCGCGTTGAAGTCATAGTCAGCCCGCAGTGCCGTTGCCGACAACCGAGCGCGCATGCGCAAACATGTCACAGCGGTGCCTAACCTTCCAGACAGCTAGAATTCCGCTGGCGCGAATTCGGTTGAACCCGGGCCAGTTCCTAGTGGGACGCATAACGCCAAGAAAATCGATGACCTCATTACACCGTCACTGAAACCAATCTGATCCAGCTCCGGCTGCACTGCGCTGAATTAAAACTACTAATTGGGACGGTAACCGATTTTCGGGCGTTTGATTAGTGTGGAGAGCTGACGATGCAGTCGGTCGATTTTAGAGAGATGACCTTACAGCTTAAGCGCTGCCAGCCATACACAGTGGATCTTGCTTCATTAAAAAAAGAACGTAATTGGTTTCAGAGAAGTCACAGCTAAATTGTCAGTGCACACCATTTTGTACAGTTACAGGCAGTGTGAGCCATAATTGTAAATGTTTCTTGGTGGGACTTCCAAGATCAGGTGGACTTCCAAGCCCACTTGTTCAACGTTTTTTTCAACAGGACCGCCGTACTTTTGTTGGAATGCGTCCGTCTGAAGTTACAATTGTTCAGAACCATAGTTCTTGGGTGCATGTTTTTCAGCTGCGTAACTTACATTATTTGTTCCCAGTTGGTCGATGGCTAAGTCTATATCAGGCTGAAATTGGATATTTATCAGGATCTGCAGTGTTTGCCATGCTTCGGGGTGCCTATGTAGAGCTTTGGTTCTATCCTAGGCGTGCGCGGAAGCATGCTGACAAGATATTACAATGTCAGCTGAGTAAAATGGTTCACTGGGGACTGTTGGGTGTCAACGGAATTCGCTGGAAGCATTGTCCACGATTCAGCAACGTGCTTTAGCTTACAAGTGAGCCTCGATTTATAAATGTCTGCGCTATTGCTGGATGCATAACAACTTTATCCACGTGCCAACATTTTATTGCAGTAGCACGCTAACACAGAGGGGGGGGGGGTGATACAGTGCAGCTCCCAGCCTCTGTCTAGATTTCAGATGGAGTGTATGAGTGCGTGGGGAGAGGGTTGATCTTAAAAGTTCCTCCTAATTGTGTGGCAGCTGTCCCTGCCTCCCCCCCCCCCATTTTATCACACACGCTTGGGTAGCATCCAATGACCTGAAGTTTTAAATGTGTTAAACATTTCTTTTATTTCTAGTGCCAGGGAAAGGGGCACAGGACAACGACCCGGGGGATAGGTGCCCGGACTGGCCCTTACATTACTTTTAATCTTAGGTAACCCTAGACTGAACGGCTTCTAATTCCGTGTAGCTTAGATGGGATTTGCCGTGAATCGATTTGAAAACGCCGTGCACAATGAAGAACCGTATGCAAGTCTACCAGCGCCAAGGCGCCGCGCAAACAGCTGGTCACGAAGGCGCATCGCAAGAGCGTGTCGGCGACCGGCGGCGCCAAGAAGCCTTGGTGCCAGAGTCCGAGCAAGGCGGCTCTTCGCGAGATCCTTCGCTACCAGAAGGGCACGGAGCTGCTCATTCGCAAGCTGCCGTTCCAGCGCCTGGTGCGCGGGATTGCGCAGGACTTCAAGACGGACCTGCGCTGCCAGAACAGCGCTGTCATGATTCTGCAGGAGGCCAGCAAGACGTACCTGATCGGGATGCCTGAGGACACGAACCTGTGCGTCATCCATGCCAAACGGGTGGCCATCATGCCCAAGGACATCCAGTTTGCGCGTCTCATTCGTGGCGAGCGTGCTCAAGCGTTGAGAGCGAAAACATCAACTGCACATAGGCTATGTGCATCCCTGAATGTAGTTGACATGATATACTCATGGACCTTCTTGCTTGTCCCTTACTTCCGTAAAATTCATGATTTATTTAGTGCTCAACCCTCCCTCCAACCAACCCCCAAACTCTACACTCATTGGCAACAGTAAACGTTTCAAGACTTTCTGCGACAAAACTGCCTATTGCTTCCCGCCGTCTCTCAACCGCCTGGCGCGCCGGATAAGCCCCGCTCATCCAGGTGCTTACTAAGCCGTGACCATGCCGCGACTTATGACCTCATTGCTTCAGGTTTGCCCTCATGTGGTGAAGTGCCTTTTCCAGTTATGTATAACTGCGCTGTTCACATAAAGGCATAAAACAGTAGCATGCCAAGCAGACGGGGGGGGGGGGGGGGAGGAGCGAAGGCCACCCCAAGTTAAGGCAGCTAGATTCATACACACCTCCACTTTGTCGAATTTTACATGAGTACATTGGCACTTCATAATATGGGAATAAATCACGCCGCGAATGAATTATCATTTCCCCACGTTTAAGATAATTTCCGACATATTTCGCGCCGCATCTGCAGCCCAAGTTAATTAAACTTGACACGAATTCCTGGCCATCTGGTTGAGCGCATCACCAATGCTGGAGGACGCACTCCAAGTTACACTATTCCGCACGTCATATTAGAACCCCACTACACTTATTCGATACTGCTCGTGTTATACCCTGATTTGTGTATATTTTTGCAACATTGTCATCCACTGCGACCAACACATCATTCTTGTTTTCATGATTGCTGCAAGCATGCATTGTATATTTGCTCCCTGAGTGCAGGCCCACCGCTAAACTGGGATAAAAAGATTCTAAAACAAATTATCATCCGAAGCGAAGGCATGCTAGTAACGCGATGTCATTACGTGATATGGCATTACATGACAATAGATCTTAGTAAAGAAGCAACAGATAAGTCGCTCATACTAAGCCACCATTATCAACCGATCATAAAGTGCTTCTATTGTGGCCAATATCCGCTTTGCCTTTATTTCAAGCACGACCAACATTAGAAGCAATGAACACCTACATAATCGATTGTTGCTATTGAGCGGGGAGACCAAAGAATCAAAGCGGCTAAAATAGGCTTGTCTACGCACCTGCTTGCCAAAGCTCGCGGTTGAGGCCTACCGGGTCGACCTCAGCTAAAGCGCATGATCGGAAATGAGATACTCACTTCGCCGATCCATCCAGTACCCGTCTGGGTCCAGGTGATCTCAGAAGGCGCCTGTGCCAATATTGACAGATGATCTGGCTCAAATAGTTGGAACAGATTGTCAGCGATCCGCGCCGCCGTAGGCAAGCGGGAGCAAACCGACCGAGAGCGAAGGTTGAACCGCCGAATCAATGCAGAGGAACAACGTATAGATGAGACAGTATTACTAGCTTTGTTTCTCGTTCAATAAACGGGAGATTGGGGAGATGGAAGTGATATTTTGGCCCCATGCCTTTATCGAAACGAATATCAGTAGTCAATTGGCTACTGATATTCGTTTCGATGCACGCATGGAGCCGAAATGTCACCTTTACCTCTCCATGCTCCTGTTAATTTTACTAGGAATACGGCTACTAATACTGTCTTATCTATATGCCTAATGCTTCTCGCGAAGGCACTTAACAACTCACGAAGGAGCAGCATTGCAGACGTACTGCTAGAACCACCCAAGCTTGCATTCAACTGAAATCTGCGAGTCGGCTGTAGTGAACAAAAAGGCCTTAATAATCTCGCAGAACCGCGCACTTCGTACTTCTCAGGAAAGATTCATACTAATGAGAAAAAAAACAACAACTCACATGGCCACCAAATCATGATGCATGACTGCCCATCATCTATTCCCAAACACATCCGCCTTTACAATGCATTATTTCAAAAGCTCACCGCCAGCCGCCGCTAAAGAAGGCGTCCCATCTTTGGGGCATCTTTGGGGCATACAAACAAGACAAATCACAAAACAAACACAAAAGCAAGTATTTCACCGTCAAAAAAGTCACCGCCAAAAACACAAATCAAAACACTTAAGTGAAAGCTTAGGACTAGCTGCGAATAAAAAAGCATTGGGTAGTCGCAACTACAGCAGCATCGTCAAGGTATTATCAGGGTACCAATTTTAGTTATTTTTTGACTAAGTTACGCTGTCGACGCCCTGTAACGGCACCGCGCTTCTTCCCCGCATATACGACCGCCGTCGTTATAACCACCGTGCGCACCTCTGCTGGTGCGATTGAAAGAACGTGTGTGATTGGCACAGCAGGTCAGGCCGGTTATGGAGCAGCACATTGGCCGAAGTTTGAACCAGTGATCCCATTCTCAAGATCAAAGCGCATGCGTTTGATGTAACAAAAGGTGAAGCGTACAAAAAAGTGGGATGACTTCTTTACTCAGGCTCTGGCGACTTCAGGCCCACGGTCTGACCAGGGATCAAATGTCTCGAGCGCACGTAAAAGTTGTTCGGAGTAATGGAGGCCTTCAAACATCATTATATCTACCGCACTTACACCCTTGTCGCTTCTGTCGATTGCACAGGTCTTTACACCACGACGGGCCATACTCACCGCACTCCTATCATGTCATCGTTCTGTTCAGCCTACATTGTCCTAAACTTACACAAAACAGTGAGCAGTCGAAACACCACATTCCATGGACGCAGAAACAGACATGTAGCAGGATCCCCCAAAATCCCAAGATAGGATCCTAAACGTCGAGATCCGGTATATTCTGGGACCCAAGATCTGGTTTTGAAATCATGTTGGAAGAACCTTTGGGATGTCGGGTATTGTTTGCAATTGTGCTGAGTGTTTCATATCCAAATTATGCCGAAATTGCGTCTGAGATCGTGGATTTTTCACACTAAAAATGCTGGAGGTATTTTCTGGGATGCTTAAAAAATCGAAAGATCGTCTGAGATTCTGAACATCTTTCATTTTGCAGCAGGACCCTATGAAATTTTGGATTTCATCTGGAAACTTTGGATTTCATCTGGATCTTCTGGAAACCATAAAGGTTTGCAGGTTTAAGGGACCCTAAGGGTTTAAACGTTCATCCAAATTCAGACAAACTAATCTTCTAGGATCTATTCGTATGGTTGTGCAAAGTGTGTTCAATATATATGAAAGCTAGAACAATGGATAGCAGGGTTATCTTGATTCCACAGTTTGAGCCTCATTGAACTTCACCTTTGAACTTTTCCAGTATGCCGATAAGATTCCTAGCCGTGAAAAATTAGACCCTTGTTATGCCTTTGAATTTCCTCATGATGTCGGGGGTATTCCCGTATATTCTGACTTTGACATTCCCCGTACGTTACAGATACCTATCACATACTAATAATACGACACTACAAAATACATATCCCATATAGATGCCTTCGTGCCGTTACATACTCCTTACTGACTCTCCACTGATTCCCCTGACATTCCTCTCGGTCACATGCACGCATATACACGCTCGCTCGCTCGCCTGCGCATATTTCACCTACCAATAATCGGCCCCTACAACAATGTCCAAAACCTCCCGGTGCGTGCATAATCGGAGGAAACAAACCATCGATTGCCCCACGGTGAGCGATGACACAGCTCTTCTACCGGAAATTTGATCAAATCACATCGCAAATCATGCGGATATTAATACTGCACTCGTGCTTTATCACTTTCACAGACATAAGGCGTTTAACGGTCACATTAATATACCGGGCCAATGATCGGTTTGGCCACACGATACGACAACAGATCGCTTAACAGCCACCGTCGCACTGCTGATGACTGAAAAAAACTATCATCTTACAGGCGCGGCATCCCAACATCGACATGAGCATGACATCCCGTGTTGCGTTGTGTTCTCCAAAAAAAGCTTCACAAAATACAAGGATTGAGACTTATATATCTATGTAAATGCACCCCAGGCAAGTTTTACAAAATACAAGGATTGTGCCTTACCTACCTATGTAAATGCATTCTGCGACGTTTGTCCATTACTCGTCGACAATTGCGATGGAAACTGACATCAAACCGGCTGTGCAACGTTTCCAACAGATATTAACGGCATATGCTTGATATCTGTGGCATTCCTCACACGGGATCCAGTAGCATTTTGTTAGATTTAGGTCAAATTCATAGAAGTTTGTCTGAGTTTGATCAGAAAATCTGGGCTATCATTTTGTTTTTCAGTGATGATGAGTGTCATGCCTTTCACCCCCTTATTACCGTTCTGTCTCTTCATTGGTGCTCATGTTATTTTTCACAACTGCATGTGCAAATGTGCAAGATCAGTTTTCAGTATTGTAGGCGACAACTAATAGTATGTGACCTGTGCTTTGTCAGTGATCCATGAAACTTCATTTGAGGGAGCATCCCACCTTTTTAACCTTTTTAACCTGTTAACTTTTTCCATAAAATCTCTCGTTAAATCAGACGGGTACGATTAGATCAGAAATACCGCTTTTCTCGAACTCCATCTGAATAACTCATAATTTTAATTTAAAGAAACCGCTCCTGCGGCAGAAATCTCATCGGACTTCTTGCTTGCCACTATGAAAGCTATACATTTAATCTGCCCTGCGTTTCCCAACGTGTGTATTTAGTTATGTTTGCACTACCTTTATTTGTCAAAACGTTTTTGTGATAAATGCTACGAAAGCTTGTAACACCCTGTTGAGATAAAAATGCATGCAAACATGAACTTTTATCCAGCGAATTCAGCGAAACGTTATACCATGGCTTTGGTTTCTCACCTATCATACGGCGTTTACCTCAGAGACACTTTTTCGGGCGCGCTTTCGCTCTGGGAATAGGAGCATCACATGTTCTACAGTGACGCGCTGGCTCAAACTTTAACCAATGCGTTTTTCGGTAACAGGCCGATGCCGCCCGAATCACAAACGTTCTTTCATTCGTAGGAGTAGAGGCGCCAAGCGGTTGTCATGACGACGGTGGTGGCGACTGGCGGAAAGAAGCGTAGTGCTGTCACCAAGCGTTGACAAAGCAATCTGGGCACTAAAATAATTAAAATTGATATCCTTATTATGTCTTGACCGCTCTGCAGTAACTGTTATCAGACGTAATTGGCCCTGAAGTTTCACTAGAGTAATCTTTTGAACTATGCGCCAAAGGCGGGACATTCCCTGAAATTGCGTATGCTGGCTGCTGCACCTCCATCCTGCTTTCTGCGATATATAACTGGGAACGGTAACTGCAACGACAAAATGAGCCCAATCCTCATATGATAAATCATAAGTTAGGTATCGGTGCGCCCTAAAAGCCCAATCATCATCGCCA